CAGAATCACGATACGCGGTTTTGTACTTTAAACGACGATATGTATATGGGAAAATCTAAAAAATAGCTACACTTTCAAAATAAAAATTTTAATTTTTAAATTTGTGCGCACACCTATGCTTTATATATCATTTTAGTCGTTATATCTTAGTAAGTCGATTAATATAAGTGTAATTCATTTTCATCAAGTACTTCAAAAGTTAGACGAGGAATAAACATGAAATAGAAAACAAAAGAATAAGCTGGGTTCAAATTACGCTTTTCAAGTTGTAAACTTTGAGCAAAGATTTTGAAAGTTGAACTCACTTAATTGGGACGTTCTAAATGCAATCGCATGCCCCGTTTTACCAGATTGGCTCCGGTTTTCGAGATAAAGGTACTTGAAAATTTGATTAAATTTTAACTATTTTATAAATAACTCCCTCAGTTTTGAAGTTATTTTACTAAAATTTTGCACATAACAGTTTTTTTAAAATTACCTTAATTATTTCTTAAAAATATCGAAATAGGTTCACATTAACATATAGCTCCAATACAACTGATTACTCAGATATGTGTTTTTGCGCTATAACTCTAACTTCATATCTGAATAATAAATTGTATGTTAAATTGAACCTATACTAAATTTTAACCTCTTTAATTGGAGGAGTTATAATGCAAAACAACGTCTCTGATCAATCAGTTGTATGGGAGCTAGATGTTTTAGTGAACCGATTTCGATGATTTTATGGAATAGTTAAGGTAATATTAAAAAACGGTTATGTGCAAAATTTTAGTAAAATATCTTTAAAACTCGGGACTTTTTTTATAAAATAGTTAAAATTTAAGCAAAGTTTCAAGTACCGCTATCTCGAAAAGTGGAGCCAATAGGGTAAAACTGAGGACGCCATTGAATTTAGAAGGCTCCAATTAAGTAAGAGCAACTATCAGAACATTTGTTGAAAAAAAGTTGCTTTGATACCACTCTCGAAATATTCCGACTAAAAGAAGGAGCATCATTAAAAGTAGTAAATCAGGGTTTTTACACACTTCTAGAGACAAATTTTTTGAAGCATTTTGCAGGTATATGTAATTTTATAAGGAATAGCAGTTATAGAAAGATTTAGATCGTTTCGACGTATTTTCCAAATGTGCCTTCAATTAAGGTGTTTTTGAAATAAAAATTACGCTCAAGAACGCAGAATATTTTATCCTTAAAAGTTAGTTTATTCTGAAAGCACACCCCTAGCTAAGGTATCAAATTATTCGTAATTGTTTGTAGAATACAATACATACTTAAAAAGTTCTTAAAATTAAATGCTTCAAAACCTATACGCAATAAACCGAAAATTTTGAAAATCGTGAAATGTGGAGCTACAGACTTTGAGTTACTTGCCATTTCGTTATTTTTTAATGCACACTTTTCTTACCTACTACATATGAAGTGTACATTTAAGTGCTAAATGCCCATTTAATTTCAAATCAGAATATGGTGTGCTTAAAAAGTTATGACATAATTAATTTTGCCCCACTTAAAAATTACATAAAAAATTCAATTGTTTTCATTATTTTTTTTTTTAATTTAAACACCGGTATTTCAAAAGTTATGCAGCAAATTGATCCAATTTTTTTTTGAGGCTTCAAGTATGCGTCAATGAATTATGTATATCCAAAAGCAACCAGCTTGATTTAGTTTACAACAGTGAAAATAAAGCTAAACAACACAAAGGTTACCTGTTTTTGAGATTTTCCCATATAGTTAACCTTAATATAGAAAGGCAATAACTCATTTTCATTTCGAATTTAGATTTAAACAAAATCTGTCAAATAGCTCACAATTATCTAATATAAATTGTTTATATTTAATAACAATCAGCACCTCGACGAAATTCACAATTGTAGAACTTTGCTTTTTACAAACTTTATTTGAAGGAACAAAAATATGAGATAGGGCTTTTCTATATTAAGGTAACGATATGTATGTATTATGCACGTACATACATAAGTGTGGATCGACATTGGCACTCTATTGGATTGGTATCGGTGAATTTCTAAATTTCTTGGCATCAGGATTTGTTTGAGTGGGTTTGAGCGTATACATATGTATGTATGTATGTACGTACATATGTACAGTGATAGAAAAATAAATAGTGACGCAACATTTGCACATATTTTGCCTATTTTTCTTTTGTTATTTATTACTTATTATTACTTTTGAATAAAAGTATGGCTCATTATCTAACAAAACCTATGATATAAATAAGAGTTTCCAAAATTTGTTTGAGTACAGTGAGAAAAAATAAATCATATCCTTAATATTTTCATTGAGCTTTGTACCACGATTGTTTATTAGGAAAAATTGAAAAAGCAACAAAGTCTAAGCGGTAGAAGTTATAGCTGCTGTTTCGAATATCACCATATCTCCTCATCAGACTTCTTTTTTCTAGACTTCAGCAGCTGAAACACATATGATTTTGCCCCAAACGACCTTTTGTTTACTTTAAACAGATTTATTTTTGGAGATTTTTTCGTTTGAATACGATTTCGTTCTGCACTCGACAGAATTAAGAAAGACCGGAAAACAATTAAAAACTATATGTTCTGCCTACTCGGATTTGAACCAGGACACTCCTAGCAGCAAGTAATAGTAAGAAGCATCTCTGTGCACTCACTTACAGCCGCAACATGTGAGTGTGCTTTCAAATGTTAACTCATTCTCTATAAACATTTCTAGACAATAACATTCTGTGGGCGGTCAAATAAATTTTTCACAAGTTACATAACGGCAGAATTTGGAATTTTATTAGCAAGCTGAACTGAATATATCTAAACACACCATTCTGGGTTCGATCAAACAAACGTATGTTTAAATTTCATTAAAAAATGCTTTTTCTGTTCAAAATTTTTAAATCGCTAACATGGAAAAACCAAGGATGACTCTGTTTGGTAAAATCTTGTTATTTTTTCTAAGTGTATGCAGTTTTATAGTATAATAACGAGTAAGCTTTCAAACTAAAAAATCGCGTTGATGTTTGGCAATTTTTTCATTTTCTTCTATAAAAATTATACAGGTATGTACATATTAGGTTTGTTCCACAAGCTACTCGAAGTCACTTTTAGAGTTTATTTGATATACGCTGACAGTTTGAACTTTGCTCGAGTTTTTCTACAAGTAGCTTGTGGAACAAACCTATTATGTTCGATTGTGGTGGAAAAATGCGTAATACAGTCAGACAAAAATTGTCAAAAATTTTTATTTGTTAGGAACTTCAAACTTGCAGAGGTATTTCAAAGTGACGTGTGAGACATTTTAACTCCGTTTTGCTCGAACTTTAAGTAAACTCTATTGATTTGACAAGTGTCAAACTGTTAACACTTGAAATCAGATATCAGTTTATTACGAAACTGTAAAGTATACAATTTAATTATATAATTTACACAGAAATTTAACATTTTCCAAGCGTGACGGGTGGGACAACGATGACACTCGCTTTCCTGAATTGTTGAATTCGTTTTTCAATTCTAGACAAACTATAAATATTTCGTTCATAGCGGCTTTCTCGAATGTAGTTAGTATAATGTTAAGTACCACTTTATCCTTTAATGGCATTATTATATTTTAAAATAAAAAAAAACCTATTTTAGCTTGTGACGGGTGGGACAACATTTTGTGACGGGTAGGACGAGTCACCTTTGAGGACACAGTTCGTGAGTAAAATGAACACTGGTTTGATGTGAATATTTTTTATAAACATTTAACAATGGGAAACTTAAGAATTTGTGTGTTACGTAAAAAGAATATATATTTTGCTGTGACGGGAGGGACATCCAATAAGCATTTTTTTGAAATCTTATAACTTCTCACAATATGTGTATTTTTCTAATAACCATTTTAAAGTTAATGAATTGTTCTCTCTTTTTGGATAATTATACTTTGCATTGTCACCTTGCCTTGAAAACTTGATGTAAAAATATTATATATATGCATTTATAACAATAAAATAGAGAAAATAGTGAAAAGTAAATCGATGAAAATCTATTTCTAAACTATTCTACCTGCTTTACTGTTTTTGTAGATTTAAACACAATTTATGTAATTTATTTGTTTACCTGAGGTGTCGTCTTTGCTGGAATGACCCTATACTAGAATTTAATGGGCTATATGCAAAATCTGATTAAAAAGTTGAGAATTTATTTGCAAATTTGCAGAATTTTTATAATTTTTGCACAAAGTTTGATATATGAGTTTATATGGTTTAGTTGAAATGTCGCGTCCCTATTTATTTTTCCACCACTGTATGTATGCATGTGCGAATGGCTATTGGGAGCGGACGAGTACACATATGTATATACATCCATACATACATATGCATGTACTTAAATATTAAATACATTGCGTATTCAAGAGTTGTACTTGTATATAATTGTTTGTGGGTGGGTGAAAATACATGTGGAAAGTGAGTTATTACGAGAGGTGAACTTTCCCGCAGCGCGTCGCCTAGCACTTCGCTACACGCTTTTGAGAATTCGATGTACGAGAAAGTGCAAGTGTCATGAATGGTTTGTTTATTTATTTTGACATTATGCTGCGTTGAAATTTAGGGGCACGAGTTATATAGTATAATTAATTTATATGCTTATAAAGTGAACTATAGACTACGAGATGTCTGTAGAATTGATAAAAAATTTTAGCTAGTGTTTATATGATTTATTGGATCTGAGTATTGCAGACAAATACTTAGGTGCAAGGGTGGCATGGGTGTAAAGGCGATTAGATAGTTGTTGAAACCCCATATTTCATCAAATTAATTTATCTGCTCAATGTTTTTTGTGTAAACAAGCAAAGAAACATTTTGGTATTTTTCAATTACTTCAATTACATACATACTATTTAATTATCATGTTGAATTGCATCTATTTAATAAACCATTTTCTAATGAAAAATGATTCCATATACATACATAAGTACATGTAATATACATACATATTTGGTTATTTTAAGGAAATAATTGTGAAACTTACTTTGTCCTAAATGTACTCGCTTCATCCACGGATATATCTGTGGCGGATTCTTCTTACAGTTGCCACTATTTTGGCTACTGCCAGCCTCATTGCCGCTATCACTTTCCGAGTCGGAGTCGCCACCGCCGGGACTGTGCATTGGCACATTTACGCTAACGTTAATATTCACGCCAGCGCTACCGACTCCACCACCACCACCGCCGTGATTGTTGGTTACGTTCGCGGCAGCTGCCGCCACCACTAGATTGCCACCCAGCACGCCTTTATTCAGCGATCTTGCCACACTCTCCACCACTGAAGTGGGTGACAATTTCGGTGAGATCTCTCGCGTCGACAAATCTTGGGGACTGGCTAGAGATTGCGTGTTAGTGTTGTTGTTACTGGCGTTAGTGTTGTTATTGTTACCGGTAGGCGTTGAGGGATCATTGGCGTATTTACAACTAATGTTAGTTTGTTGTGGCGTCGGTTGTTGTTGCGGGTGTTGTTGCTGCGGATGTGGCTGTTGCTGTTGTTGAGCGGTATGTTGCGCCGTCGCGTGGGCGTGCTGCTGCTGCTGTTGTAGCAGCAGACGTTGCGGCTGCAACTGAGTGTAATCCACCATGTCAGGATTCTGTTGGGTACCACCGCCCGATCCACCTAAGCTGTAGGCCGATTGATTGGCATAGTGCGCCTGCGGTGTGTTGGGATACAGATTAGGAGAATAAGCAGCGGCGGTAGGGAAATAATCATTTCCACCGGGTGTGCCGGGACCTGAGCTGCCCTGTCCGCCGGAACCACTGCCTCCACCGCCCGCACCTGGACCTCCATTGCTAGTGGTGGTGTTAGTCCCTCCGCTTGGAGTCCCCACATGATTTTGCTGCTGGTTCATTTGTTGTGGATAGCAAGAAGCTAGCGAATTCACAAACTGATAAGAAGACATTGCAAAACAGTCGGGATCCATGTTGTCCACTGAGTTGAGCGGTGAGATATTCACGCGATTTTGCGATTGGCCTAGGTATGTGCGCAGCTTTTCAGTGACTGAAATTATAAAAACAAAAAAAATTTCTATACTTTTAATACTTAAATATGTATGTATTTAGACTACAGTTTAAGAAAAAATTTTCTAAGAAATTCCTTAAATATGGTTCCTACACATAAGCACGAACATAACAGAACACAAAATACACAACCCCTCACGCTACTCATAGCCTGGGAGCAATGTCTGTACTAGGCGTACATCAACTGATTATTGTCTTATGAAAAATATCACATAGTTTGTTAAAATGAGTGTATATTATCTATATTGACTAAATAGTGAATGCCTTCGAGTACATTTCAAAGATCTCTTGTGAATAACAAAGATTTACCTTATTATGTGGAGGTTAAACTCCTCAACTACCTTTCGACTTTCAGGAACTGTCGGCAAACAATTGAATTAACCGCTGAGCATGGTAAAGCGTAAATATATATTAAGCATAGCTATTAGTTTGACCGGTTGTGGCAGAAATTGGCTCTTGAATGTTCGACCACGGTCAATGTGGGGTTAGGTGGCGGAACTGAGTTTGTTAGTATGCGAAGACTTGTATCGATAGCTCCTTGCGAGCTGTGTTGATGATTGTTACGTGCCTGCAACTGCATTGAATTACATATTCGCTGAAGAGAGAAAAAACAAGAAACAGACATTCGTTGTACCTGTTTGCAGCAAAAACGATAATAAAGAAAACCAACAAGAACAACGACGTGTAATATCTAACCAATTTACCTAAAACAAGAAACACACAAGCAGTTTTTTGCGGACAAGTATGTATATAATTCATATAATGGTAACATTTTCTACTCGGCTCACAGCTTGATGTTGTGGAAAAGTGAATGTAAAACATCGGCCAAAATTATCTTACTCGCGTACATACATATTAATCTACATACATACATATGTATGTACACCAGGGTGTTCCAAAATAAGTCAAATCGGAATTTTAATGCTCTCACCCCCTAGGTTTTTTCTATATCAAGAAAAATATACCCCTATTTTCGTATTTTGAAATCAAAAAATATTTACAGGTCGCTCAAAGCGCTCAAAGTTTTCCATGTATTTTATATGGGGAAAAATAACTTTTCGTAGAAATGCTATGGAATTCTTGAAAATCAATATTTTTCGATCAAAAAACTCTGGTTGGCTTCAGGAGACTTCCAACAACAATACCCAATTGTTTATTTAACCATTTCTTAATGCTAAGAATTTTTTATTTATCCCCCATTGCATTTCCTGGCTATTTCTGAGGGTGTTGGCGGACCTATAAAATATAGTATTATTATTGGAAATCTCTTGAAGAGAAACAGACTTTTCAGATCGAAAATATTGATTTTCAAGAACTGTATACCATTTCTTCGAAAAGTGTTTTATCCCCATATAAAATACATGGAAAACTTTGAGCGCTGTGACCGACGTCTAAATACTTTTTGATTTCATAATAACAAAATGGGGGTATATTTTTTCGGTATAGAACAATCCTTGGGGGTGAGAATATACAAATTTCGGCTTCACTTTTTCTCACGCATTTTTGGACCACCCTAATGTACACTCATCGGAACAGCAGCCACTGAAGAGGCAACCAAATTGTGGTGAAGACTTTTCTGCTATGTTGATAGTGGGAAGGGGTGAAACCTGCTGTGCCAATTTTTTATTTTACTTCTTGTTTCGCTTTTGTTACAATAGCCGGGCTCCGTTATTGAAGGAAAACCTATAATTTGGAGCCAGCGAGCAATTTATGCCGGTGGCATTGTCAGAAATTTAGTACTTGGCACATAGTTGACACTGCGAAGAAGCAGGGTTTTATAAAAAAGTGTAAATGGTTATAATAGGCGGTGAAAATTGTGAAATTATTTACAAATCACACGTCAATAATGGTGACAACAGAGAAACTATCTTAGATTTGTATGGAACAAAACTTTACATCAAAAGTTGCATTAACGTTGTTCGCAACTGATCAGCAACAAATGGGGTTGCTGAGGATTAACTGCTTAAATGCTGTAATTCAATTAATTCTAGCAAATCTGCCCATTGAAAGTTGTTAGGAGTGTTTTAGTTTTTTGTTGGGATCTGTCTATAATATTATTCTAAACCATTGATAAGAAAATACTTAAGGTGACAGATAAGTGTCCTACTTTTTGAATTCAGTTTGATTAAGAAACACAGAGTAGGGCTAATGCACTTGCTTTCATATCATGTTTCCTTAGGGTGGTTTTCCTATATACGAATGCTAAAAAGCTTCTATAATATATTAAAAAAGGTCGGATTATGGACATGATTTTTATGGGATTGTGGATTTAATAGCACCTGCTGAACTTACAGTCAGAGGATCTTCATATTTTATACTGAGAAGAAGGAACTGAGAAAGAAAAGTGGATAGACTTAAACTAACTTTAGAGAGCAATTTTGACAACATGAGCTCAATCTAGATTACACTTTGAGATCAACATAACTTTTCATTGACCTATTATTTATCCTTAATAAATGGTAAACAGTGAGCGGTCTGCAATCCCTAAACCAACCAGTGATCTTAGCTAACGTAAGGGCGATAAACTAGATACTTATTAAAAATATTACAAAAAACGCCGGGACACGTAAACTTAATTTTGGGTCGTAGTTAAATAGATTACGGATCTGTATACGATTTTCTATTTAGATGAGGTAATTTTCCCAAGACATTTCCATTTGTAATAAAGCCTTCTCTTTTACAAAAAAGATAAAATACTAACGAAGAAAGTCCATAGATAAATAAAATTGGGAATGGTGAAATGAAAGATCATACTCGTACATGGAGTATGAGTAACGCTCTTGCTCATATTTAAAAAAATAATAATAATAATAAATAAATAAATGTTTGGGCATTTTCATTTCACGATTTACAACTTTATTTACCCATTGATTTTCTTCGTTGGTAGCTTGAAAATAGTGGCATACAAATTGTTATTTTAAATTTTTTCCCTGTTTTTTGAATCACAATGGGGTCATTCCAGCGAAGACGACATCACAGGGAAAATAAATAAATTACATAAATTGTGTTAAAATTTAAAAATTCCATGAAAACATAAAATTGACCTTAATATTCTACTTTGAACATTCCATAAAACCGCTACGAACGAAATATTTATAGTTTGTCTAAAATTGGGATACGAATCCAACAACTCAGAGAAGCGGGTGTCATCCCACCCGTCACTCTTGGAAAATGTAAATTTTCTGGGTAAATTACATCATGAAGTCTTATACTTTATCAATATATACGAAATTCAATTTGAAACTGGTAAAATTAATGATTAAAGCAAAATTTCTTAAAGCTTGAGCAAAAACTAGTCTAAATGTCCCACCCGTCACGTTGGAATACCCCAATGCAAACTTAAAAAACATCTTTCGAAAATGACCTGATCTAGAAAAACTGTAACAAATAGGTTATCTACGACCCAAACTAAAGTTTATGTCGTGTCTTGGCGTTTTTTATGGTATTTCAAAACTTAAGATTTTTCCTACAGTGCCATTTGAAAGTAAAATAATATTTGCGGATATTTTATTGTTCACGTCTTAAAAGTGTTAAACATGTACATCTCATATTATTTAATATTTTAGTCAAAATGATGCTTTTGACATCCATTATTTTCTGAATTCAAATTTTGTTCTATAAAACATCTGATTTCAAAGATTTATTTTGATTTAATGGAGCATAATTTTGCCAAATTTCGCACTACACATTTGTGAATTTTCTAACAACGTAATTCAATTAGATAGTGAAAGAAATGGAACAAAGCTAAATTTAAAAAAATATATATTTTTTGAAGTAAAAGTTTTTTTCGGTGTATGCATTCAAAATAACGAAGCTCAATGGGAAGTAAAAGAATTAAACTTCATCTTATACTTACGATCAGCTTGTGGCAGAAACCATTCAACCCGGATTCAGGGAATAAGTGAAAAACAAAAACACGCTGAAGCAAGTTAGCCTTATCGATTTATGTAGGAAAAAGAAGTTTAAGCACAACCAGAAACAAGGAAAGGGGAGTGGCAGACAGCTACATGACCGCTAGTATACTCTCGCTCAAAAGTAGGATTTGCACATGAATGTGGCTTTGACAGTGTTTGCGCAAAGTACTACGTACGGCTTCAACATGGCCGAAAAGAAGAAGAGTAATGCCTGTGAACTGTAGCTGTGTGCGGCATTTTTAACCAAATCATTGCTGTGGAGGTAAACCAAAATCAATATGGTCGAATACTAAATATATACAAAAGTGTGTACCTATGGCAAAAACTTCAATGCACAACAAACATACTTAAAGAAGGGTTTCCGCTCCGTGACTGAATTGGTGTTTGGCTAAATTGTTTCGGTTACTGGCAAGATGAAAGCAGCAACTTCGTTTATTTGGTAAAAGGCTTCTGACCCGCTAATATTTCCAATGTTCTCTTCAATTACGTAATTGTTTTCAAAGTAGATAAGGTCAGTAAGGGTGATAAAGATAAAATATATAACGTTCAAAAGAAATAAAATATTTAGTTTAGCAAGTGGATTTGGAAGTGAACGAATCAATTTGAGGCTTTAAACGTTTTTAAGGACTTATAATTATGTATGTATGTATGTGTTATGTTAGTATGCCTGTGTCTGTATTCACAAAAAAAGTCAATATTTATTTTCACATTTTTCTTTGTGTTTTTTGGTATATTTGATATTAAACATTTATAATTGGCGAAACGGAATACTTAAGTGCATAAAAAATATCTTTTGCGGTAAAAAGTTAAGTATTTTTCAGATGTGACAACCTTGAATATGCACGAGGTTCAATGCTGAGCAGGAAGCTCTTTTATGAAAATCCCGGTTGCAAGTACTGGTGGTCAAAACCACAAAAAAGTGAGTCCCTATTTTAAGGTTTCACAACTAACTAAGGACAAGAAGAAATGTTTTATATGCATGATTTTAATTATAGATATATGTATATAAATATCAGGCAAACAAAGGGGAGGCTGCTTGTGTTTAATTGCGACCTCATGGTAGAAGGCAATGGGTTATTACTAAGGCAACCAAAAATTTGCTTTAATAAAAGCGTTTATGGCGCCAAAACATTGCATGCATCTTAGGCATATCGTGCACGTTCTTCAAAATTGTAATAACTTTAAATTTCCCATTCATACATTTTGCCAACACTTTTACCCGCTGACTGAGTTCTTGAGAGATAAAGTATAATACGACTACAATATAAAATACCAACGAAACAGCTTTCTTATCTCATAAGGAATATCTATGTTTTATACAGCGAGATCTTTTCTTTTTTGAGAAAATCTTTTTAAATTCTTGAGATTGTTAAAAAGAGTTATTCTAACTTCTTTAAGAATTTTAATTAAATATGCAAATCCGAAAAGAGGGCATCTTGTATAATTTAATAAATACATTTTATCATATTAATGAATTCTAA